GCCGGCGTGGCAGGTCCACCGCCGGGCCCCTCAAGGGGCTTGGCAGTGGAGCTGCAAGGCCGGCAGCGGTGGCCGGGACCGTTGGGGGCGGTGTGTGTGGCCTTATGACACACTTCTGGTGATGTCAGGGGGTGTGGCCTTATGACACACTTCCGGTGATGTCAGGGGGTGTGGCATATGCTAATGAGTTATGCTAATGAGTTCCCCTAGCTCTTTTTCTACGAAACGACCCCTGCATAGAACCTCCCCTTGCTTCTGGCTCAGAAAGCTTTTTTTTTTCTTTCTTTCCGTTTCGCTTTTCCTCCTAGGGTTGCCAGGTCTGGGTTGGAAAATACCTGGCGACTTTGGGGGGTGGATCCGGGAGAAGGTGGGGTTTGGGGAGGGGAGGGGCCTCAGCATGGTGCAACGCCATAGAGTCCACCCTCCAAATCAGCCATTTTCTCCAGGGGAGCTGGTCTCTGTCAGCTGGAGATCAGTTGTAAAAGTGGGAGATCCCCAGGCCCCACCTGGAGGCCGGCAACCCTGTTTTCCCCTGAATTGATCGTGCATTTCAGAGTGCTCCTTAGAGTGGGCCTAGGAAATGTGTCTGATGCCACCTGCGAAACCACGTATGGGCCAAGGTATTTTGTCACCCTAGCAAGGTAGACCTTCCTGTGCGGCCACGAGGCAGGTCTGAGCCCCTGCGGCAACGCTTACAGAGTCTTGGCTCCGTCTTGGGTCGTAGTGCCTCTCGTCTAGGAAGCAATGCCCTTTCTCTCCTGCACTGTTCATGTTCTGGAACAAGCTCAGACCCTGCAGGGCAGCGCTTTCTCTCTCGGCACTGCTCCAAACAGTTTCTTGGGTGGTCCAGCCAGACAGGACCCCACTGGGAACTTCCACCAGTCTCCTTGAAATTCTCTGGGCTTCCCATGTGACTCCTGGCAAGGTTTGGCTGCATTTTAGATGGAGGCACCCCCTCAATTCATCAAGTGAACGCAAGAAGCAAAAGATCCAACAGAAGGAGGGTAGCCAGGCCCCCACGGCCCCCCGTGGGGATGGGGGGTAGGGTTGCCAGATCCAGGTTGGGGAACTCCTGGAGATTTGGGGATGGCATCTGGGGAGGACAGGGACCTCAGTGGGGTACAATGCCTCCAAAGCATCCACTTTCTCCAGGAGAACTGATCTCTGTAGTCTGGAGATGAGCTTTAATTCCTGGGGGTCCCCAGGTCCTACCTGGAGACTGACATCCGTAAACGGAAGAGTTACCTAATGAAACAAGAGTCTCATAGTTGTCCCGCATGACATCCTTGTAGAGGTGTTTTTGCCAGTCGGCCAGTTCCTCCCACTCTTCCGGGGAAAAGTAGATGGCAACGTCTTCAAAAGTCACAGAATCCTGAAAGAGAGGAGGAGGAAGAGGAGGAGGAGCGTTGGATTTATACCCTGCCCTTTACTCAGAGTGGCTTACAATCTTCTTCCCTTCCTCTCCTCACAACAGACACCCTGTGTGGTTGGTGGGGCTGAGAGAGCTCTGAGAGAACTGCTCTTGAGAGAACAGCTCTGAGAGCTGTGACTGATCCAGCCCGAGTCCTAGCTATTTGGAACGTACTTGTAGACTTCATGTCATTTTGAATCTTGCCAGAGCTGGGTTGAGCTCCATCACTAAGAAAAGTGGCCTGATGAAGCCCTAAGAAATGGCAAAGCAACCTAGGTGTGCCGTTGCCACTGTTTTGATTCGCGCTACAGCTAGTCTTGAGCCCATGCTGTCTACTGCGTGTTTTCTTTTGGAAACCCTTCTCTGCACCATGAGCCGCATCATTCTGAAGGGAGACTTGTACTTTCAAGGGCTATCAGGTCACTATTCAACTGGTGCAGTTGTCATTTACGCATGGTGGCAAAACCATTTGTTATGCGTATCATTTATGATTGTAAGTAGAACTATATAAGACAGTAGTCTCAAGTGTGATATATTCTATTTCTCAGCAGACGCACACTCAGCCTGGCTTAAGATCATCCTTGCAACCAGTCCAAAAAAGAGAGCTGCACCAGTAAGCAGAACAAGAAAAGGCAAAAAAAGACAGAGATTGGTGCAGTGGGAGAAAAACGTATATTTTTAGACTTCAGGGGGATCTTTATAGTAATGTTGCTAGAAAGTTCCCATAGCGGTGTAGCTTAGCATAGGGGGTCATCAAGTCTAATAAAATATCTCCCCCCACTGCAGCCACTGGTTTTTCCCTTTCCTTGTTCTTTCTCACAACCAGCAACCTCCAGCACTGGGGGAAGCCCAAGACTGATGCTGTGCCAAGAAGCAGAACAACAAACCAGCCCCAGGGAGATGTCTGCCTTAAGGCATGCTGTTGTGACATTTCTATTTAGGGTATTTTCTGTGGGGAAAAGAGTCAGAGGAAAGCTAATGAGCCAAGTATGCAAATCTGTTTTAATGGTGGAGGAAACTGAAATTGCAGAAAGAGACATCAGACTGGTCACAATCGCGTGGTTTTGTGCAGTCTTTATCTGCTGAGGGAAAAAATCGGAAAAATGGGGGGGGGGGAACGTTTCCCCCCGTTTTTTTCCTGAAGTCTTTTTTGTTTTTTTCCAAAAAATTGAAAAAAGAAAAAAAAATTGATTGTGGAACATTTTATTTTAACATGATGAATAAAATATTTTAAGGCAAGGTGTTCAAATATTTTCCAAATCATTTCTAAAAAATATGTATGGTATCAGATTGATCTAATTTCTGTGCGCTGAGGACAAGCAAGTCCTAGGTTACAAACTGAACTCTCCAATGCAAGAACAAGATGCATTTCTTCCTTTAGGAGGTGCTGTTGTCACAAGAAAAGAAAAAGGTTTGTTTTTGCATGTGGGTGGGTATTCTGTTTGTAATAATTGTTTGGATACACTATATTTTTAATATGCTAGTTGTGATAATTTCATGCCAAGTAAAAACGTCCATAGTCCTATTTTATGTTCCTAAAGTAACAGAATGACTTTCAATCTGGAAAAGAAAATAGAAGTGCTAATGTAGCATTTTTTTCAATTTTTCCGAAAATTTCTGGTTTTTTCCAAGCTTCAAAATTTCTGTAAATTTTACATCTCTAGGTGTGACCAGTAGCCCCTGTATACCCAGGACAGTGAGTGCCCTGGATTCAGCACCTCTAGCTCAAGGCTGGATATGCAAGGAATGCTCCAGACTAAAGGGTAGATTTCAGATCAGTTGAATCCTGCAGGATTCTCAGTTTTGTTCAATGATTCTGTCTCCACAGTTTCTTACCCTTGTAGGACCGATTCTGATGCTGCGTTTCCCCTGCTGTGTGCAGCAACATGCCCTCAGCTGTGGCAGAGGCCACAGATCTCCTAGTGGCTTTTTCAGGTGAATCACAGCAGTGCAAAACTGGAGATCTTGTGCTGGTATAAACCCCCTTGGGGAGGGGAGGGGAGACAAGTGCCCATCTTTTTGCTTGAAAGGGCTCTAAGAGCAGGAGAGAAAAGTTGGGTGTTTTGTTTTTTGTGAGTATTTTGTGTGTGCGCGTGTGTGTGTACCTGAAGTCATGGTTCATTTCTGGCGACCCCTAGTGGGGCCTGGACATTTCAGAGAGGTGGCTTACTATTGCCTGCCTCTGCATCCCAGTGCTCCCTCTAAGCTGAGTTAGTGTGAGCTACCTCACAGTTTTTTAGCCTCCAGCTCACACATTCTTGTCTTAGCTCAGGCTCCAGAGCGAACTAATTGATGCAGTAGCCAAATTGCTCGCTCACAACTTTAGTGCCAGTAGCTCACAGAGTAGAAATTTTGCTCACAAGACTCCACAGCTTAGGGGGAGCATTGGAGCCCTGGTATTCTTTGGCGGTCCCCCATCCAAGCACTTGCCAGGGTTGGCCCTCCTTAGCTTTCAAGATCTGACAAGATCGGGCTTGCCTGGGAGAAGAGTTGGTTTTGAGTGGCAAAATGGCCTACAGGGGTTAACCCCCTTCCTCCCCTTTCCATATAGTCCCAGTCTAAATTGGGAACACAGCTGTCATTCAGCTTCAAAAGATGCTAGAAAGAACTGGTCACACTTTCCCCAGTATTTCACCTGCTTTAGCCCTGAGGAAAAGCTCCAGTCCTGTACGCACTGATTTGGGAGTACGGTCTGCTCAATTCAGCAGGGGCTTAATTATCAGCAAACCCCTGTGTGGGGTCAGACCGTAAGCATAATGCATGAGCCGGGAGCCATTTTATACATCCCATAATATCTGTGCTGAGTGGAAGACAGAAGAGGGAGAATTTATCCTTCCAGAGGAAATAAATACATCAGTCTCGCTCTCTCTGTGGATTGTAGGCTGAGGCTGACGATGCAAAAACGGATAGCTCCCAGGGCTCAGCCCACCCTGCTGCAGGGTAAGGCGAACTGCACTCGATTTGAGGGAAAGATCTGGGGCACAGTTAAGAAGATAAGAACATAAGAGATGCCAATGTTGGATCAGGCCAAAGGCCCATCCAGTCCAACACTCTGTATCACACAGTGGCCAGAAATACCAGGTGCCATCAGGAGGTCCACCAGTGGGGCCAGGACATTAGAAGCCCTCCCACTGTTGACCCCCCCAAGCACCAAGATGACAGAGCATCCCTTGCCCCAGAGTCTCTATCTATACCCAGAGGGGCAGATATGCAGAGGTGACCCACGGGACACAATCTGCCAAACTGTTCCCCTGTGCAGGCCCCACTGAAACTGCAGGAACAGAATGAGAGCTGGGACCTGCCGTTCCTTTCAAGGGGGCTTGTGCCAGGAGAACAGCTCCTTTTGGGTTAGTGGCCGGGAGATTTGGGTTGTCCTCACAGAACCCAGGGCTGGGTCTTGGCAAAGCAAATAGATCCCAGCCTTAAGCCCCAGGTCAAATTAAACCCAGCCTGCTGGAATTTATGTGGCAAGCTCCTGGGGCAGAGCCCTACCTCTTTCACTTGTGTTCCCTGACAACAAGCCCAGTACACCAAAGGCACTAAAGAAATCTCAAATGAGGATACAATAGCAATCATGGAGGGGCTGAGGATGCTTTTGCAAAAATGCCCACTTAGCGCAGGCTCCTCCTACCCAAAGGGCAGACCCTGGGGCTCCAGCCATGCCTCAAGCCAACGCTCTTCTGAACAGACCGACAACGATGAAGGCTTCAGCCACAAGAATGGGGGTGGCTGGGTGGGGGGGTCAATCCTGCAGCCGCTTTTCTCTGTGCAGTCCCTCTTTGGCGGGCAGCGATTTCGGGTCAGGTGCCAAGAAGACCACTCCGAGTGCAGATCTGTCACCTGCCACACAGAAGGGGAAAGGGAGATAAGAAGGGGGGGGGGGAGCAGAGTTTAGCACCAGCAGGATTGCCAGATCCAAGTTTCAAAACTAAAAGGGACTTTGAATAAATTTGCATGAACCTTACGCAAATCATCCCTCTGCTTCAGGGAGGGGGGGTGGAAATAAAGTTCATTTGCATCAAGCAAATGCAAATAGGCTTCCGCTCCAGCCTGTGTTTCCCCCTTGCAAACAGGCAGCCCTTCTCCCTTTGCATGGAACAAGGAGACAGTTTCTGGCACAGCCCCGGATGGGTCCCTCCTTGCCTTTCTCTTCCTCCGGATGGGGTGTCCAGGACTCCATTCGAGCCAAGGAGCCAGCCCTGGACCTCGCCTGGAATGCCAGCAGAGTTCACACTGATCTCTGCTCAGCGGTGGTATCAGCGGGACGTGTGAACAGGCCATGCCACAAAGACAACACTTTTCTGTTGCTCCCAAAACACACCTTTTCCCAACAGAGTCCCATGGGCCACTTGGCTGCAATTCATTTTTTTTCAAAAAATACATTTTATTAAGTTTTCGGTAAATTACAAACAGTACAGTAAAATTGCATATAAATTGTAAAAAGCTGTTCAAATGTAATACCTGCATAGTACATACAGGAAAAGTAGGACTTAGTGTTATCCCGTTCAAAGACTGTATGCTTTTCTATAATGTGGTTGCGCAAACCCCGGTGTACAGTGTATCATTTATTGTGGCTTAAGCTATAGTGAGATAATAGTACCTCAAGTAAACAGTAAGAGCTCATATTTAGGCTGTTTAATGTGTTCCCAATCAAACTTATCTATGTGCACCTTATCCAATAGGGGATACCATTTATCTAGAGGGTTGAGTAACTGGCTTTTAGCATCCATATTATCAGTTCATATAGTGATTTTCTCTTGTAGGAAAAAATCCCACACTTTGTGGAGCCACTGCTGCATAGTAGGGAGGTTTTCTGATTTCCATTTGCTTGCCAGGGACACTTTTGCTGCTACTAAAAGAATGTTAATTAGTTTTTGTTCTAATTTCAGGTGGACTGTCCGTGGGCTAGAGGTGGAGCAGGATCGTCGCTGGATCAAACAGTAAACTATAACCTGTGAGGGATTGAATGTTTGTTACAATTAGTTTCCAGTAATGTGTTACCTGTGGGCATTCCCACTAAGTATGAAAGTATGTGGCTTTCTGTCCACAGCGTTTCCAGCATAAAGGTGATGTTTGATCATAGATGTGGGATAATTTTGCAGGCGTGAGGTAGCACCTGTGTAAGACTTTGAGTGCAGGTTCCTGTATGGCCAATGATATTTTTGCGTGAGTTTTCCATGTCATTCCATTGGTCTTCCAATAAATTTTGCTTAATGTCTCTATTCCATGCTAGTTGGTAGCTAGCCATTTTGTTTTTCTCCGTGTCGAGAAGTTGTTTATGGACCAGTGCTATTAGACCTTTTTTCCGTGCGTCTTTCCATAATAGCCTTTCAAAGGTGGATAGTGAAATTTGTAAGATGGGTTTAAGTTTTTAATTATAGATTAGGTGTTGAGCCTGGAGATATTCATACCATGCAATTCTTCTTTTTGCCTTGTTATCAAGTTCTATTTTTGGTAGTAGTTTGACTTGGCTGCAATTCATTGACCGCCAATAAATCATAAGGGGGATATGCAAGCTTGAATCAGCCCGTAGATCTAGCCACGGGGAGCGGTGGCACAGGGGATTTATCCTCTGGTTACAAGTAACATCTGAGCTGAACAGAACTGTTGTCAGTTCTAGCCCCACACTGGTGTGAGCTACCAGCCTTGTCCCCAGCTCGCCGTCCACCCAGCAGTTCGAAAGCTTCGGTGAGTAGATAAAATGGGTACCACTCCTTAGAGAGGGTGGGCACACCAAACCCCCCCCCCGTGGGGGAGGTGTTAGCTGGCGAACGGAAGGTTCGGCTCGCAAGATCAAAAAGCCTAGGAGATCTCTTCGGCATCAAGAAGCCTGTAATGGGCCATTCCGGCCAGGCGGTGGCAGTATGGAGCTGCGACCCGAAGAGTCCTGGAGAGGAAGAGCTGACGTCATCCAGCCAAGCCAAGCCGAGTGGGAAAAATGCCGTCCGGATCACGTCTGAGTTGCAACTGAACAAATCCCTGTTGGCTGCAAAACGTGTGCTATGTAAAGATTATATGTGTTGTCCTCCCTTACCCCTATAAAGCATCGTTAGTCCCCTGTGAAATGAGTAACTGTAAATGGCTCAGAGCCAGCAGCTCTGCAAGGATTGAGCGCTCAATAAATTTAAACATTATTATTATTATATTACACACAGCAATGAGGAATGTGAGAAAGCTCCTGAGAAACTGTAGAATGCCAGCGATCAATAAATTGAAAGATTATTATTATTATATTACACACAGCAACGAGGAATGTGAGAAAGCGCCTGAGAAACTGTAGAATGCTTTCATTTCACCATGGATTTGGCCCCACCCGGTGGCAGAGTTGCCAGGGCTGGCAGGTGGTAGGCGTCTGGGGATGATTGCACACTTCTGGGAAAGGATGCAAGTATGTGGGTGGGGCCAGCCATGTGGGTCTTTCCTCGTCAGTACTCGCCAAGAAGGAGGGGTGGCAAGCAGGTGGCACAAGGGTTGCCAGCCTTCAGGTGGGGACTAGAGTTCTCCCAGGATCACAAGGGATTTCCAGACTACAGAGGTCAGTTCCTCTGGAGAAAATGGCAGAGTTTGGAGGGTGTGAACCTGCTACCAGTCACAGCATAGTGCCAGACAGACTCACAGTCATTAGAGGAGAAGGAGGAGGAGGAGATTGGATTTATACCCCACCCTTTACTACCTGAAGGAGTCTCAGAGCAGCTTACAATCCCCTTCCCTTCCCCTCCCCACAACAGACACCCTGTGAGATAAGTGGGGCTGAGAGAGCTCTCTCAAGAACTGCCCTTGAGAGAACAGCTCTGAAAGAACTTGTGATTGACCCAAGGTCACACCAGCAGCTACATGTGGAGGAGTGGGAAATCAAACCCGGTTCTCCCAGATTAGAGTCCATGTTCTTAACCACTACACCAAACTGCGCCCACTCAAAAAGCATCTGCTTGGAATATAAATGCACTGGAGAACTTTATTTTCAGGATTAAACGGTACACAGCACACATACGCCATCCTTCAACGGACTTGAAGTCAACGGGTTTTTAAAAAGTGTAACTCTGCTTCGGGTGGCACAGAAAATCAATTTGTTTTAGCAAATGCACAGTGCATCAAATTGAAAAAAATATGAGGGGGAAATCCTTCAAAGTTTGTCCACACAGACATTCCAGTCCTGCAAATAGTTATCACTAATGCTACAGTAATAGGATATCAGGCCCCACCCATTCAACAATATAAAAATGGGAAATACTTGACTTGTAATGCCTATCAGAATCGTATCTTATTTCTGAAATAAAGCCATGTTGGCACTTTGTCCAGAGAGCTACCCTAGACGAGATAAATTATTCCTGTCCCAGAAACAGGTATGGGCTTTAACATCATGAGGGAACAATCTTATCACTGCCTGATGGTTGTTATTCAGAGGGAAACCATGGCCTCTGAAAATGGAGGTTCTACCTATCCATCATGGATGTTAGCTGCTGACAGACCTGATCTCCTGAATAAATGTGCGCAATGCCATTCAAAAACTACTGAAACTAGTTGGCACAGTGAGTGCCATAAACTTGATAATGAGCATTTTTTGGAGGGGGAGGGCTTTCTTTTCTCAATCATTAACCTACCGCCAAACAAGTTCACTGGGCAACCTTTCTTTTCTTTGGGCAACAGATTCCAGGGTTGCCAATTGATAAGGGGGGGGGGGGAGCCAGGCTAGGCCAATCTCATCAAATCTCAGAAGTTTAGCAGGGTCAGCCCTGGTTAGTGCTTGGATGGGAGACCACCAAGGAATTCCAGGGTCGCTACGCAGATGAAAGCAATGGCAGACCACCTCTGAACATCTCTTGCCTTGAAGACCCCACCGGGGTCACCATAAGCCAGCTGTGACTCGACGGCACTTTCCACCTTGACAACACTTCTGCCTTTCAGAGCAGCCTGACCTGAAGAAAGCAGCAGGTGACTGCCTTCGTTGCACGATCACCTTCTACTAGCTGGGACTGATCTGCAGGTGGAAGGCCCAGTTGGGTAGACTAGCAGATGCATTTGGGAGCCCACCTGTTTGCCCCCTGTCCTTCCCCAGTGTGGACGAGGAGAAGAGGGGAAAACAGTGACGGCATATTGTTCTGTATGGGGACAAGATGACAGCCTGGTAAGGTAAATGGTGTAGATCATCCTGATCTGGGATGACAGCTGAAGTGTCATGTGACATGTCACCAGGTACAGGATTGCATCTAAGTTGCATCAGCCTAAATGATGTCACCATGAGTCAGCACTGGACTCTGATTGGTGCTGTGTTGTATATATTGTGTACAGTAAGTGAGCAGTTGTTCACTCTGGTGAATGGATCTGTATGTGAAGCACTTTGATGGACTGCATGGCGATTTGGAGACTACAAGTGCAGCAGGACTGTGTGTAAATATCTCTGTAAATAAAACCACTGTGTATAGTCAGCTCTAGCCAACTTGGTTTGTGTATTTACTGGCGTTTCCAAACGCTGACAAACAGATGTTCATTTAAATGAGACCACTGCTCCTTAAACATCTTCAGAAAAAGCTTCAGCCCTGGAAAAAGACACTCAAACAGTTGCCTCCTGCAGCAGCTCCTTCCAAAGCCAGGCCTTGGTGTCTGGCTCATTCATGCAAATTTTATGCAAACAGCATGAGCAATGTGCAGATCAAACATGCAAATGAGTGCCAGCCCTTGGGCTCCCCAGTCCGTTTCCATGGCGGCCCTCTGTGCTGAGTGCACCGCCCGTCAATGTACCAAGTGATGCGGTGGGGCTCCCAAAGGGGCACCATTCAGAGGGGAAAGCCAAGGTCAGGTGGAAGGTGCTTGGACAGGTGCAGGTGCCAAAATTAGAACTG